GTGCTTTTGGAAAGGTAATCGGGTGGTATGTACGTATATATATTTAAAAACTTACGTTTGGTTACAAAGAGGGAGAGCATACTATGAATATTATGCCGTGATTTATCGATGATCATCCCTTCTTTCGAAGACTAAAGCTGGTTTGAAGTGGTAGCGATGCTTTACGAATATTATCTCGATATATATTATAAGAAACACTAAAGTGGAAGTGGAAGTGTTAACACTTTAAGCCGGTCGTCTGTGAGGTCAAAGTGTTTCCTCTCCCCCAACTAGCCTCCTTACTCAAGTAACAGCAGAATTTGCTGTGCCCCTATAAGTCTTATTTGGCCATTTAATGATTAAAATAATTTAAACGGTTTATTTTATCAATTTTGTGCCTTCAAAATTGTTTCCATCTCAATTTCCATCCATCCAACATTGTCCTGTAATGCCAGCAGGCTCTATCGATTGCCGTGTACGCCTTGCGAATACCAAATCGGGGCTTTTGCGAGCTCACGCCTGTTTTTTGGTGTCTTATGTAGTCGTAATAAGATTCAATTTTGTTTAATAATTTCGTGAAATGTTTTGTTGATAAAATTTAGAAGGTCAGACCGGAGCTAGTAGGAAGTGGTGGGTTATTGAGCGATTAGTACTGCCGCGGTTTTCTTGCTCCCGTAAACTTTGTTATTTTTCATGGTCTCATAAAAAACATTATTTTATACTCTTAACATATCTATTTCGAATAATTATGGTGTTATTATATTTAATACAAGTATAGTAACTGCCTGTAAATGTTCCACTGCTGGGCAAAGACCTCCTCTGTAAAAAGGGTATCGGGGCATAGTCCAATTCGCAACCACACTGCGGATTGGCGGACTTCACTAATTTTCGAAATATTTTTTTTAATTATTATTTCGAAAATATGCACGCCTTCACCACCGAGCACGTGATAATTGAGTAAATACAACTAGCCAAGTTAATACGTTTTTTTTGTTAATTTTATAAGAAAAATCCCAGACAGAGTATTGAACTCTAAATCTGTATGAAACTAAGAGTGCTGGAAACTATTTTAAAAATTAAGTAATGAAAGCCAAGTGCCGCTTTTAATTCGATATACCCGAGCAACCCGAGTTCAATCCACGGTGCTGGCCAATAAAATTGTTAATTTTAAGTGTTGTTTTATCACGTGCTCCGTGAAGGAAAACGTCGTGAGAAAACCTGCATATTTTCGAAATAGGAACAAAAAACATATTTCGAATATATGTGAAGTCCGCCAGTCTGCAATGGGCTCGCGTCGTGGTCTATGCCCTAAATCCCTCTGTATAGAGGAGGCTTTCGCCCAGCAGTGGGACATATATAGGCTTATAATGTAAGTAACTCTCTAACACGGCTATTGTCTGTACATTAGCGTAACTAAAAATGTAATTTAGTGTCAAGCGGAATTTTTATAATTAACGTTTATGAAAATTCTACACAAAGATCTTATTTTGTATGTGTACCTTTGAGTACAAATATTATTTTTGTGTTAATTAAAATGGCAGTTACATTTAATTTTTTTTTTGAGTTGTTAAAACTACATACGGAAAAATATGATAGTGAAACAACATTTAAAACGATAAATTCTTTACATCCATTGTAAATCATAGAAGTTTTTAATATAATTTTATGTCAATAAAAAATCATCTGAGTAATTATGAGAGATTATGTATTTTTTATCTTTACATTAAAATATTATAATTGTGTCCTTTGTAGTATTTTCAGGGAGCTGCAACCGAGCACGTTGAAGTTTAACGCACCGGGCTAGACGGCGTAGCGACCTACGACGTAGCGGCGCGGCTACATTCACACCGCGGGCATATTCTGTAACGTTTAAGCTAATTTATTACAATCACCGGACCACAATTCACACTTGCTCGCGCCCACGCCCATACGCCGGCGACACTCGCCCAACGCCTTCCACACCGAGGCGCTGACCAATCGCGAGACGCGTTCGAAATTTGAATCGGAACTGTTCGCATATCGTTGTTTCAGTCCCGCGGCAGGGGGGGATCCCCGTCAATTCATATCTATATTTATTCGAAAATCAATCGATTACACTATTCATCATAAAATTTAAATTGAAACTTTTTGAATTTAATAATGTAATCTAATAAAATCAAAATACCGAGTTTATGATAACTAATCCAAAATAACAAACCAGTTCTTAGCAATAAAAAAATTAAAAATTAAAGGGAATTATTTTAAGTATTCGTCCTTAATATTGCAGATAACATTCCATTAAAGTCATAAAAATAATATTAAATTTTATTTTATTGTGATTACAATCATGAAACAAAGTTATTTTATAATTAAATCAAATAAATGTCATAAATACTTTATCAAAACAATAATAAATTAATATATCAAAATTAAACTATAAAATATTTGCAAGAATTAAACAAATTAAATAATAAATTTCTTAAAGGGATCTTTTCCGTCAAGCTTACAATTGTCTTAATACGGGTGGGGGTTCTTTCATGCGATGTCTAAGTCTTCAAACATATGCAGGGCGGCGGACAAAAGGGTGCTAAGCTGATTTATAGTTTTGATTTTCGCTGTGAATTTCATCAGCGTTTCCACCCCGTTGAAACAACCCTTTTACACTGCGACTTTATATGATTAGACATTGAGCTGAATTTATATGTATAATACACGTCCTGGACGGATTGACTTGAAATGGTACGTAACTAAGGCAGTAACTTCTTTTAGCATTTTTTCAAAAATTGATAACTTATAAACTCAGTTAAATATTATTTGTGTCGTGGAAATTTGCTTCTCTGAAAATAACATTTTAATTTTCACCTGTATCTAACGCACTTCCTTATCTTATTATCTCGTTAATTATGTCGTAAATATAATTAGAATAAAACAAAAACAAGGTTATGTATACAAATATATAGTTCCATGTAAAACTAAAATTAAACTATAATAGTTACAGGTACTTACGAGTATATACTACATGTATTGGTGAGTTTTAGTATACTTATTACTTCTTTTTTTCGTTGACAATTTCGAAGAGTTTAGAACCTTTGTAATATATTCAATATAAATAAATATAGGACAGTATAAATAAAGAATTTTTTTAAATATTTATTATTTACTTTTAGTCATTTAAGTATTGATAAAAACGACACCTGCGTAAATTAATATAATTTTTTTTATAATTTTTATAATTTTATATATAATTTTTTTTTTTATAATTTTTATGAAATTTCTTTATCAGAAAAATAATAAAGATGACATTATATAAAATATTACTCAATTCAACTTCTCAATCGTTCTTTGAATAGAACGATATGCTAGTACCTTATTGTACCATACCCTTTGACTATTTTGCAAATATATATAATATGTATTGTATATTACATTACAATAATTTTGTGAAAGTTCATGAGTGTTAAGTATTTAAAAGGGTGCATTTGTTAAACGATGCTTTAAAGTTACTGGCACGATTTTTGATTCAGTGGCGCAATTACCACGGTATTGGCTTCGGCACCGGGGGTCGTGGGTTCGATTCCCACACGGGACAATTATTTGTGTGATCCACGCGTTACGGCAACACCAAACGCCACTTCTGTTTAGATCGGGGCCCCCAGAGACACCCAATTTCTGCCTCGTCACTTACAACTCCAACGGCTTAAATGCAACATCAATATTAGCAAGTAATTAAATCATTTACGAGCGACCTATTTTTCATTGCTCCATCCACTTCTCTACACCACGTATAATTGTTTCGGTTCTGGATGTTTTTCCACGGGAAATTTATGTATGTAAAAAATCATATGATAATATTATCCTATTTTAAGGACAATGTTTTTGAAAAAATAACAGAAAGTAAAGATGTCGATATTTGATAATTTCATATCAGAAAAACCCAGTGACATACTGTTGTTTTATTTCGTAGAGTCTTTGTTTCCATTTAAACGATATAAAGTCCAATCCAAAATGCCCACCGTTACGTACGGGTCATATGCACTGCTCGGCGTAATTATTTTTTGTAAAACCAGTTCTAAAGAGCTCCGGGAATCCGTTATGTTCGTGTGTATATTATCGTGCTAAACAGACGTCAAAGGTCCAGTTACGTTGACTGGTGTTCAAATTGCGCGACAATTATTGCTATAGTAACATTAGACGACATGTGCAAGGTCAAGTGTTATAACGGTAACTGTGGGAAAAAACGTGATCTAATTTAAACATGTCTATCACACAGGTCATGTATAAATAAATTTGATTCAGAAAAATATTTAAACACAAACTGTTATTCCATTTTTATACCCTTCATAAAATTTACATTAATTATTTTTTTTTCTGTAATGAAATAGTAAATTAACGTAATATTATTTTGGACAAAAATTAGTCTGAAAAAAGCTCCGAGAGCGTAGCGAAGGTTTATTACATTTCATGGCGTGAAAAAAGATTTTAGCGAAAGTTATAATTAGGGCGCGTCCGACAGCGTGTTCGTTTGAGACGTGACGTCAGGCCGCGTCACGTAAAGGTAACCCAATTACAGGCGACGTGACGCTCGGAAATTCGGCAGCACGCCCCAAGTAGGGCCACCAGTTCGACTGTGCGAATGAAAGAGTTCACGAAATTTGAAAAGAGAAAGATATCTATAATTTAAAAGTAAAGATTAAAAGTTGAATTATTATTATAACGAAGGGAAATTCGTCTTCTCTGTGTTTTTCCGAGTCATCAATAAATCATTTTATCCCCGATTTTTAACATTCATTGACATTACTCTTGTCATTCATTAGGACCGTCACATTAATATGGTGAAAAAGGACTCACCAAATTAAAAATTGAACAAAATCTCTAAAAACAAAATTTACTTCAATGAAAAATAGTTATATAATTATAATTATTAAATGAAGATAGAAAACGGAAAAGAAATGTATTCGTTAAAAATAATATGACGGTTGGACAAAATGTTCCTATAGTAATTGGCGAAAAAACCGCGAGGCGAACTTGTGGTCACCCTGTCAGCCGAGTCGCACCGTATAGTTGGAAGCTTGTTTCGTATGCCTGGCATACGCCCCGGCCGGTTCGGCGCACACATCCAAGCACGCCGTATAGTTTTGATAGCAGATCCTCAATGACCGCTGGACCGACAGACCGGGCACACGTGTTCCCACCGGCTCGCGTGTAACGCTAAAATGCATGTAAATACATACCACGCGCGTTTCGGAACGCACCGGCGCGCGGGCGGGAAAATTTTGACAGTTGACGTTTGTATTTTTTCGGAACAGTGATAGCGATCGCGCGCCCCGTGCTTGTGACTGAGATGTGGATTGGTTTTTTTTTGTGAGTCCCCCGTTGAGTGTTTGTGCTGTAGCCGTGATTGTTGTAAATTTGATCGTTTGATTGTACCAGGTTCAGCTCGTGCCTTCGTAGTATCTTTTTTTTAGTTATAAAGATAAAATTACTCAATTTCAGTATGAAAAAAAAAGAAAATGCGTAAGATTACCAAATTTTCCGGACCAATTTTTGAAACCAAATCAAGGCAATCAATATATGATTTTTTTTAATGGGGCGTTGACAAAAACAAACAGACAAACCGATGAACTAATTTTATTGTTGTCATCGAAGTTATTTAAATGAACATAATATCTTAACATGAAACAAATAACTTATGATTATCGTAGATTGCTGATACCGAAGTAGTTCGGAATCTCTGAGTACCATTGTAGGCGAGGCGGAGTACCAACTTCAGCGCGCCTCGAATAGGTGTCATTGCTCAACAAACACCAAAAACCCGTAATCCCTTGAGGTTAACAAAACACCGACTCGATAAATACTTTAGCTTAGCGCAAACAGCGCCCACTAATAGGCGCGGGTACATCCGTCGAAAACAATCGCTTGTGCGCCGCACTCTGTCAATATATCAAATGTTCGGTCCGCCGTTCGTGCAAACAAATTAAACCGAGTACGGTTATATTGGGTGCTTAAGTGAACACACTGGACGCGTTAACTAATCCCTTCTCCACGTGAATACTGCACGTTAAATAAAACAAATTCAAGGATTCCATGAAGCACAATTTTGTTTTTGAACTATCAGCTAGGCATATTATCTGACGATTTATTAATTCAAATCGTAACACACTAGATAGTGTTAGCTCTATCTGCATATAGCGAACGAAAATATAGAAACAGGAAAGTTGATAGTAATTGGGTTCAACTTTTAAATTAGGGCGAGAAACGCCTCTGTTTTGAGACCATTGATGTTGCAGTGTTCTAAATGACGAGCGGTTAAAAATAAAAATTACCGAATAAAATCTGCAAAATAATTCACGTGTGTAAGATTTACGATACTTATGAAATACGATGACAATGCGAATATATTTAGATATTTAAAAAAATAAAAGATGAATCTCAAAAATTGTTTATATTTTAATATCAGAAAATATTTTCATAACTTATATTCCATTTACATAACTTATATTTCATTTCTTAAAATACTTTTTAATTCGTTTACGAAACTCCATAAAAATGCTACATGTTTGTTTGCATTAAGTTTTGCACGGAAGAGATTTATAATTATATTATTTAGTTAAGTGATGACAGACGATGATGAAAGTAGCATTAAAATGAAACAACGATCGATTAACCGACAGTATAAAGGAACATAAGTGATAATAAGTGTCCAATTTGGTTCATTAAAATGGTACAATAATCTGTGGTGGGGATGGAGCACCCGGGTGGATTCGCCTCCTCGCCCTGGGCTGCCATGCTGGGCCATGGTATGCATGGAATGATGCAGCATGACTACACGCATGCGCATGCCCATGCGTCCATGCCGATGGACTTGCATGTGCCTCAGGCGTTTCCGTACTACCGGTGAGTAATCCTTCATTAGAATGACTTTAGTAATGTCGATGAAGTGTTCTTTTAAAATTATGTTGTTACTTCATATGGAAAGTGAGTAATAATTTTTTTTACTAAAAAACCCAAATGCGGTTGTAACACTGTTATAATACAGAAACGAGTATCAAGTTTGTCGTGTAGAGACTTTACAATAAGTTAATTATTGGTGTCACTTAGTTTACCTTTTAATCAAGCAATTTGATAGATTTTAAAATAATTGTACGCGCTTTTATTCCAACGTTTACCGATAAAATTGTTACTGTGCCTCAAGTGCTTTTTTTTTTTAAATATTATTTCTTTGCCCGATTGGCAAACAAGGACAATATGCTTTTTAATTTAACCGTATTTACTTACGGGTCTTTAACTTCATTGTTGACTTTACTTATATGTTGCATCCTTTTAATTAAGCACTTTGCATGAGATTGAAAACTTACATTATAGGAGTATATTTTATTTTATTGTGTGTGTGTTTTTTGCGTCAGTGGCATTAGGTTAAATCAATTTTTTAATCTTCTCTAAATAATGAATTCATACTGTAACAAAATAAACTTAACGTTTGAATAAACTTGAAACGTCTATACTTTAATGTCATTCCGAATAGAATATGTTCACCACATCTCTTAATGCATTAATAATCAGGACTTACTGGTACAGTTACCCTTTTATTATCAATATAACTTATAGTTATTCATTTCATTATGGGTTATTTGCAAACAAATTGTTTATTGTTAACTATTTTAATATTAATGTGTTATTGAATGATGTAAGTTGTCGATGTTATTTCAATATGGCAGGCATTGTATTAGTAGCTATGAAGAATTGTCCCAGCAAAACAAACATATTGTATTAATGCGTTATTTCTTTAACTAGTTAGGAACATTGTTAGTTAGGAGAGTCCATCAAAGTTAGGTAACTAGTTAGGAACATTGTTAGTTAGGAATTTAGACAACTAGCAGAGGCGCGCAGCAGTGTGGGCTGTACGGCAGCCACGTCAGGAGACCACCGAAAGACCCCAAGAAGACCCAGCCTCATAGAAGACCGGCGTAAATCCTTCCTTACTACTTTACTTACTTATTACTTCCTTACTAATATTATAAAGGCAAAAGTTTGTTTGTATAGCTTGACGTTTGACACTCTTTCACGCAAATTTTACTGAATTGATTTTAATGAAACTTTAAAATAATATAGCTTATACATCAGAATAAGATTTCAGCCTATTCTACGCAGACATAGTCGCGGGCAGCAGCTAGTTAGTAATATTAATAATTTTTCGTTTCTGGTTCTTCTGTTGATCATGAATGGTGGTTATCATCTGTCATAACTTGAGTTTTTGTGTTACTTTCTGTTGACAGGCAATCAGATTTCTGAAGTAGATTATAACGCTTTCAAAATTTTTTATTTTCAGTGATTTTAGATTTTTTGTTATTGTTAGTATTAGGTCACGGTTTACACCAAGGCCGGGGTCACCTGTATTTGACGTCGTCCTCCTTTGTATACTAATAAAGCTAACCAATGAGTTAACAAGCAAACCAATCAGAGAAAAATAAATGAACTACCGTAACGTAATGTGTAATTTTAGATAGATTTAATCTTGTAAATATTAGATCAATAAGGAGAAGGATATCAGTAGTATTTCATTATGGTACGGTTTATGTAAGTTGCATATGAATTGTTTGTGCAATGGCGCTAGTGAATAAAATTTTTTTTTTGCTTACTAGAACTTGTTGCTGTAAAATGTGTTTGATAATCTCAAAATACGTATCATTTCTTCACATTGGTTAAAGAATTTAAATTTTCAAATTAATATAAGCAGAATCTCCGATGAAAACAGATTTTATTCGAAGGTAAAATTTACCTTCGATTTTATAATCTGTAGACAGACTATCGCAAAATGGGAATTTTTGGAAATAAATGGTCGACAAGTCTTGGTGCTGCGGGATTCAAACCTGTGTCTTGCGGGTAACGCGCCCAAACTCTAGACTAAACTAAGCGGCCGATGTCGTGACGGCATGTAAATATCGACATCTATTTACATTGTTAATCATTGCATTTATAGCAGAGCTTGGCGCCATGTAGTGTGTATACTTTACAGCATGAAATAATTTAAAAACAACGTTAAATATTTGTAATTATTGTCGATTATCGCAGTTAACAGGTTTTATTTCATTTAATGATTAAACACACACTATTAAATACTAATTAAATAAAATGTTTAATATAAGCTAAATTATATGTGATGGTCTAACAAACCTAGGCCACGCGGCATGAAGTCAAGAACGCTGGTTGCGGATCCTCGATGAATAGTTGTGCTCAATTAAGTTGTGTTTAATCCTGCATAACGAAAAAAAAATATTTTCTTTATCGAAAGTTTTTTTACTTTGTTCAAACTGAGACAAGGTTGCCCGAACTTAGAGCCATACTGCTCTATTGGGGAAATCTACGGCACTTTCAACCACTATTGACAGTTTCATTCCAGCCACCCAAACCATATTCTATTGAGCTCTGAGACGTATCGCTTACTGAGAAGTCCGAGGATCAGTGTCAGATGGAGACATAGAATTCGAAAGTGCGCCTCGTACCAGATTCCTGTCTCTTCTGTTCTTTTAGGTGTTCGAGTGTAGCAGTGAACACCTCTACGTTTGTTGCGAGTGTCAATTGGATGGCGTTCACTGTCAGCTCACTTGCCACCTTCTCACATAAAAAACACATACACACACAGAAAGCATGCAATATAACATTGTAATTACATTATAGTGATTTTATTAGTAACATTGTACAACAGTCATATTTTTAAATATTTAGATTAATTTAGTAACCTAATTAATAAGTTAACTGTTTCCAACTCAATGCAATTTTTATTAGTGATATATAATCTTATCTTGTCTTATGTTGTATTTGGTAGACAGGCGAAAGTCACGACAGTTTTTAAATAAAGCTAAACCAATGAGATCATAAAGCTTTAAACGCGCGAACGCAACGCTAACACTACTACGAATATCCTTCGATCGCAGCAAAAAACATCATCCAACGCTACAACACTGAAAGCAGAATCCTAGTGGAGTTTAATCGCGTTGCTAATGATCGCACTGGTTCGATTGTCGGCCGGGGTACGAAATAAAAGCGCGCGCAAAAAGCCGCCGCATCGGATATGGTCAGTTATTAGGGTGGGATGCCGCGGTGCGGTCGGCGCGGGGTTTTTGCCGATCGCATAACGCACGCCCCGGCCGCCGACGCGCATCACGGGAAAAGTACGGGCCCCGTGGAAATTTATGCAGGCGGGGCGCAGGCGGCTCCGCGCCCCCGCGGCCTTTTTGCCCACCGGACACATGTCTGCCGCGGTACGTGATAATTGTTAAATTTGCTAAATTGAAATCCGAATCCGTTCGGAGAGGTTCCACCGTAAATTGAGTGCATGATGCAAGTGATGCAAACGATATGGGAATACTTTCCGAGAAATGTACTCTTGTATTTCTTCTACTGTCTCACGCACAATGGAAACGATATGCGTGATTGTTTCCGAGAAATGTACTCTTGTCTCTGCTGTTGCACGAATGGGCAGCCTTGGCCGGTGAAGTACAATGGCTTCACAGGAGATGGGATGTGGGAGTAGGATGGCAGTCAAGTGCTAGCCAGTTTTGAATTAAAAAAACAAAGAATAATGTCAATTATTGTACTTTCAAATTTCGTAGGGGTAAGAGGCAACACTCGACGGTTCATTTACCACATGATCGCTTTCTATCACGATGAAGTTTTATTTAGTCTATGGACTTAAAGGTATAATCAACAATGGAGAAATCAAAGTGTGATTTCGTATGCAATAAGAAAAAAAAGGAGCTCGCCTAAGAATAAGTTATTTTTGTAGCGATAAAAAACATACAGTAACTGCCTTGAACAGAGACTGAAGTTAGACCACAAAAGCCTCAATCATAAGATAGTTATTGTGTTTATTGTTTTTTTTTAAAGACTCCCACACAAGTGAATAATTCTCACAAGGGAGGTGAAACAATACATATAAAGAAAAGAGACAAAAAAAGATACGAGTAACGGATAAAGGTACACCCAGAGTCGGATCAACTGTTTATAGAACTAACATTTATTAATTCCGTGTATATAAACCAATAAACTAATAAATCAAGAGGCATTACGATCGAAATGAGAATTCACTCAGTTATTTTTTAATTTATTTCAATCGTGCACAAGTTGCTAAGCCATAACTGCCGATAATATGTTTTTGTAACTGTCAACTTTTCTAATTTTGCCGTTGACTGATCAAACGTTATCCACTAACGGCCGGTTTAAATATTCAATCTACAGATAGATTCGGTCATTGGCGATAGGTATTTGACATTAGCTACATTACTTACATCAAAATTATAATCTCACTAGCTGTTAACCGCGGCTTCGCCCGCGCGGCCAAGGTGAATTAACAATGACTTTTTTATTATACACCAGAATATCGCGCAGATGGCTGATTTTTTTCCTACTTAGTTGACACTTATCATCACCTATATTTTGGACAATTTGCACAATATCTTTATAAATTATAGCCTGTGTTATTTTTATGTATAAGCTATATTATTGTAACGTTTCATTAAAATCTATTTAGTACTTTTTGCGTGAAAGAGTAACAAACATCCATCCATACATACAAACTTTCGCGTTTATAATATTAGTAAGGATAAATAAGGAAGTAACCAAATCTATGTGCAGATCGAATATTGAAGCTGGCCGTAAATAAGTCAATCAGAAAATCAAACAATACACTATCGATCTGCGTCCACTCCTTTTTTTGCAATCCTCGTCATCCTTTTGCGATCGAAGGGACGTTTTTGCCTTTTGTGCGTCGCCGCCACATATCCGCACTATAATCTGCGCGTGCACAGACCCTGAATTAAAACGTGAAATGCGGCCACCTTGTCATTTCGCGGGCCCTGGTCACCATCCGTCCCGACTGCACCTAATTATACGCTGAATCTAAGGCTGGCGGTCCACTGTAAGATATGCATCAGATACTGCTAAATATGTGATATAAATCGTATGCCATCAACATTCACACACAAATATCTAATAAACAGAGACATATCTTTTTGTTACATTCGATAGAGGCTTCGCACTTGAATTGCAGGATGTATGGTGAAGAGGATGTACTATTATCTAAAAATCGCTGTTTGTGTCCACTGCTGAACATAGGTCTCCAACACAGACTAACACGAAGCATGATCCAGAGCCAATTGCATCCATCGACTTCCCGCACATACGCATTATATATTCAATCTAAATAAATTAAGCTAATCTTGTCAACCAAGACGAATTATATAATATACATATATTTAATACAGTTTATATCTGGCAGTGAAAAGCTGGCTTAAAGCCCAGTTTCCCATACATTCGTCATCACTGATCGATTTTTGTTTACCGTCTCCTAGAAGTAATTGAGGTGATATCATTCAGTTCTGTTCTTTTGTTGAGTTCGAAACGAATGATACCTAATTATGTAGATACCGATATGGGATTCATCCAGTCGTTGTCAATGATAGGTTGCGTTTCTGTTACCGGATATTGGAGCTAGTAGCGGGCCGTGTTTTGTTTAGATATAATGGTAGTAAATAAGATTTGTGTGACTTCGTTCCAGGTGATATTTACGCTTTTACGCTGTAATATGAATTAAGTTTATGAACAAAGTAAATTATGTAGATATTTAGATGCTTTACCCCATGGCAAGTGAGGCACAGACACAAACAACAATAGATACGTGGCCTACAAGTTATGTTCACTCACCGGACGAAATGCAGTATAAACACTTTTAATTTACGTCGGTTTATATTTTTTCCCCGGTTAAACTGGCCATTCAGTAGTAGCTGTGACGTTAGCCCTTTTTTCTCTACCTCTACGAATTTCATTCATTAGTATTCATTCAGTAGTAGCTGTGACGTTAGCCCTTTTTTCTCTACCTCTACGAAATTGCACTGTTTTCACAGAATGAACATAAGAGTGATAATTCAAGAACTCTTTTAATTAATAAAAATATGATAAGATTGCCGTGATAGCTCAGTGTCCGGGCGCTCGCCTTTAATTCAATATACTCGAGCAACCTGAGTTCGATCCCCGGCGCCAGCACCAATAAAATTGTTAATTTTAAGTGCTGACTTATCACGCGCTCAACGGCGAAGGAGAATATCGTGAGGAAACCTGCACATATTCCGGCCGCGTGGTGGACTATTCGCCGATATCCTCTGTAAAACAGGAGAACTTTGCCAAGCAGTGGGATATATATAGGTGTGTGTTACTTTACTTTTACTTATATGATGTTAAAATTACTTCTAAGAGTATCTATCAATAGGTTGCTATTTGTCCTCAATCTAGTATAGTATAGCGAACGAAATGGATTCGGGATTATAGAAAATGCACATGCATTCACCACACTGGGGTCTTTGTCTATCTTATACCAATAATAAAAGGTCAGGTTTCAATCTCCTATGGTGTAATAAGTGTGGCGAGAAAGATGCGTTCAGACCGAGAAAGCTCACTAGTATCGTCTCTACTAAGAAGTCGTGAGCCACAAATCTTTTACCGTAACTCTTTACGAAGATGTATACATCATCGATCCAATAGTCTCTATGTACCACGTTCTTTATCTGTAATAAATGTTTGCCATAAATGTCTCCAATAACTAGGCTTAACTTGATTAAATATTGAAACCTTTTATTAAAATATTGAAAGTACATAACGAAGTGCGCAATTGGGTTTCGTTGAATTGAAATAAGGTTCGCGTGTGAGCTTTCGTGTACCACCGTCCAAACGGAACTTATCGCCAAAAGTGTCTTAATGTTTAAGCACGTCAGTATTTAAGTCCAAACCAGTTGCGTTGGCAACGGAGGCGGGCATGCGTTGAATATTTTTTGACACCTGCGTAAGTCCAATATAGTTTCTGCAGAATTTTTGTAGAGTTTCTTGCGCTATGAAATATTTATTAAAATGTGCCTGCGCGTAATTTATGAGCATCGCATTTCATGATATATCACAGGGTGGAACTCTTGTGAATTGACGTACTGAATAAATTATTACGTCGTTCTAACATGGTAACATTTCATCGGACAGTTACTTGTATGCGGTAATTTACACTTAACAGCCAAATTAGGTAAGTACACTAGATAGTAATGCGGGTAAAATTGCACATAAAAATTTCGTAATGTCAAACGCGAATTTTGATAGCAGGCTCGCTTTTACGGTAAAGTGAAATGTTGCTGGAAATTAATCGTCGAGGGAATTTGCGCTGTGTTTAATGGTTATTTATGTTGATTTTGTAGTTTTTTTTAGTTTAGACGAGTTGTTGAGTAACCAAAAAGGGAAATGAATAAACTTTGTTACAATGGTGTATATATTTATTGAAGGTTTAACAAATAGTTTGTTTTCATTTCTCAACATTGTCTTCGAATAATCATTTGGTAAGAAACCAGTGAACATCTAACTATTAGTATAGTGGGAAATAAAAGGCGCAGCATTCTATATTATGTTCTCTTACACCAAGAATTATATTTTCTTTAATTAAAAACAATTACTTTTTAAATTATGTTTTTTTTAAACGAAACTTCCTAGGTAGTGATTGGAACATCACATTTCATTACATGAGGGAGATGAAAGATATAACTTAGAAAGAGAGCGAAATATAGGATCAATACAAAGCGATAGAATAAGTTATTGTGAGCATGTGCATTGAAGATACACCTCAGATTTTGGTACCTATATACCAACAGCTGCGGTACGTAATGTATATCGTTGTTTTGTGATTATTTACGTTTCAACGAGTTTCATTTCTACCACGTTCAGGTACATACAATTTAGTTATTTGTTCTGAAAGATACACATATTTTTTCGAAACATATGTAAAATATTACTTCCACGATTTTAGTAATAGACAACTACTTGAATTCAAAGAACAACACTTAAGATGAGTAAAACAGTCGCATAATTTTTCACCGTCCCCATGATTCGATCCTGAACCTTCCGGGTTGCGTGTTCGTGTCCACAAAACTCAAAAAGTAGACATATACTATAGGCTTAACTTGATTAAATATTGAAACCTTTTATTAAAATATTGAAAGTACATAACGTGGTATAGCGGGCTAGCTAGGTAACTATAGCGGGCTAGAGGTGGCCGGGCGCGCGCTGAGCGCACCTAATCTGTACTTCGATTATGGGTGACTAAGTTTGAGGGCTCCCGAGGGAGCTTCGGCTCGGCCGTCATACTATTATTATTTTCACGGGCTTGGGAGGCCAGATACTGGCTCGATTGGTAGCTTTAGCCTGATAAGGGAATAAAAGGTTTAA